GCGTGCTGTCCGAGCGGAGTGTGTGTTGATTGCCGTGTCTGTGGTGTGGTTTGGTGGTGTGGGGTGTTGTGTGTGGTGTGAAATCAAGGACGCTACAGCCCGGGGGGTGGGCTGGATATCACAACCGGTTATGGATCCAGTTTTCATAACACCTCCAAGGGTTGTAGCGGTTACCACACTTGGTTCCTCTGGCTGAGGGTGCCGGTTTGAGGCCGTGCTTGCACGGCAGGGGGGCCGATGCCCTAAAGCACTTTGATCAACAAGTACACTCCGAAGCTCAGAAATGTGGAAGCACGTTGATCCGTCACTACTATTGGGCCCAGAGGGTCTTGAAGCTGTTCATTGACTCCATTCCCCAGAGGTGGAGACAACTCTCTGGGCCCAGAGGGTCTTGAACCACTAGGAACCTGGTACCGCCCAGAGCTAGAAGAAGAACCGGATGTGATTTGAAAATTGCACGTACTCAGCAGTGGCTTTAGGAAGGTGGAGCGAAGGCGGTGTGAGCCCCACACGAACCCGCTCACATGGATTTATGAAGAAACAATCATGATATGCGAAAAAACAATCATGATAAGGGACTCACCCTCTCAGGTCCGTTGTTGTGGAAAGTAACCAAAGAAAGCCGGCCTTGCAATCGGAAGCATTAAGGCTTTTTAAGGCGGAGCGAATCCTGAAACATTGCCTCAGTTTGGATTGTTCTCTGCAACAAAGGACACAGGGCGTACCCCCCTTGACACAACTAAGTATTGATCCACTGGCGTGGACCTGGCTTGATGGAAACACCACCCTGCAGAGAGCAGAGAGTAGCATAGAGGAGCAGGGAGTAGAAAGTACCGCAGAGAACAGGGTAGAAAGCAGAGAGTAGCATAGAGGACAGAGTAGAGAGTAGCATAGAGAACAGAGTCGAAAGTAGCATAGGCTAGAGAGTAGAGAATAGCCAGTGGCGTAGAGTTGAGAGCAGAGAATAGAGAGTGGCATAGAATTCAGCGTAGAGTACACAGTACAGCAGAGGAGAGAGTAGAGAGTAGCGTAGAGAGTAGAGAGTAGAGAGTAGACCAACGTAGAGGGCCTCACTGAGAAAAACAACATTTTTTTATTTTTATTTTTTTATTACTACTCACCAAGAGAAACAGGGCACGCTGGCCATCCAGCGGCTCAGTTTTCCCATTTGTTTTCCAAAGAATAGAGAGTGGCATAGAATTCAGCGTAGAGTACACAGTACAGCAGAGGAGAGAGTAGAGAGTAGCGTAGAGAGTAGAGAGTAGACCAACGTAGAGGGCCTCACTGAGAAAAACAACATTTTTTTATTTTTATTCTTTTACTACTACTCACCAAGAGAAACAGGGCACGCTGGCCATCCAGCGGCTCAGTTTTCCCATTTGTTTTCCACAGGCACGGGCCTCCCCACACTACTCAACAAATTCACAGAAGAAAAAACTTACGGCAGTGCATCTTCGCGGCTTCTAGTGAAAGATTCGTTTTCATTTGGCATTTTTGGTGAGTTGTGCAGCACGACGCATACTGGAACTTTTTCAACTTACCTGTGGTCGCAATTCCGGACAGGTGCATCCAGGTCGGCCATAAAAAAAAGGCCAGATGCGTCCAGGAGGGTCCTCATGGGACTTTTCAACTTACCTTCGGACGCAATTGGAGTCAGGTCGATCAAGATTCCGATTCTAGGCTGTAAAAGCGGTCAGATGCGTCCAGGAGGGTCCTCATGGGACTTTTCAACTCCTCCGCTGAGTACACCCTGAGTCCAGCGGTGTATGGAGTTACTCTTGCCCTTGTTTTTTTACGTTTATTTTCCCTATTTCACGCTGCCACCCACCTGTCCCCCACCCGTCCCCCACCCACATACCTGGCTAGTGGGATCTCCCTCCCGGCCGGCGTACCCATATGCCGGAAACATATGCC